AAAAAAAAAAAAGGAAAGTAACACCGGGCCCTAAAGGAATTGGCTGGCTCCCTACCTCTGGGAGGTGGCACCTCCCAGAATCCTTATTACTTTCTCCTTCCTATGACAGATAGGGAAGAACAGTGCTGGGAAGGGGCTCACTTGAGGTACTGACCAGGTGAGTTGTGATTTCGCCCACATGCCTCCACTTAGGTAGGTTCAGGATGTGGCTCACTGGACAGCTGGCTAGGACATCCTTGAATGCCTAGAGAAATGTAGGATGGCCCTAGGGCAACTGTGGCTCTCACCTGCAGGCATACTCCACGGTGTAGATGGCTCCTTGGCTTTGTTCCTCCCACCGCTGCATGTCAGCCTGCAGGAGTTGGGGGCACATTTAGCAGGGGAGGCTACCACCTCAAGGGCCCTCCTCTCAGCTGTCTTAGTGAGGTTCTCCTGGGTCCTCAGAGTAGCTGCCAGACCTTTACTCTTGTAACTCCCTTCCCTCAGAAGGCTGGGCTGTGATCACATGACCACCATGCCCTGGGGCCTTTGCACTGGCTGTTCCCTCTACCTGGCATGCCCTTTCCTCTGAGGGTTGCATGGCTACCTCTCACCATGCAAGTCATAACTACTGCAGATCTTGCTGACTCCTTCAAAGTCTACCCCCGATCCATCTACCACAGCCCCAAACTGGCTCAACCACCACATGCCTCCTTCCTGGTGTCCCAGCTTTCACTCCTGCCTGACAGCCCTTACACACATAGCAGGCCCCAGCTCACCTTGTGTTGGGCCAGCTCAGGCAGGGAGCGGCGCACATGCTCCTGCAGCCGATACAGGGCCACAGATGGCTCGTTTGCCAGGACATAGACACTCTCAGTGAACTTGTCCGTGACTGGGTCCAGGGTCAATAGTTAGCCAATCAGGGGCCAGGGGTGGGGAAACAAGGAGACAAAGCATCAGCCTCTTGATTGCTCAACCATGAGCCTAGCCAGAGCAGAGAGGAGTGTCCAGTATCTTCCCTAGTATCTGGGTCACCTGCAGCCGGTGATGGGCTGGAGACGGCCGCAGCAGGGCTTTACTAGAAAGGACAATGTTTCCAGTGAACTCTTTATCTTTTCCTACCAGATCCACTTTTGGTGGACACTCCTGCTGTCCACTATGACCCCCCTGCATTCCTTTCACCCCAGTGACCACACCTGAGACTCTTGTTTGGAAAATATCACAGAATGGCTGGACAGGGTGGCTCACATCTGTAATTCTAACACTTGGGAGGCTGAGGTGGGTGGATTGTCTGAGCTCACAGGTTCAAGATCAGTCTGAGCCAGAGCGAGACCTTATCACTAAAAATAGCCAGGCATTATGGCAGGTACCTATAGTCCCAGCTACTTGGGAGGCTGAGGCAAGAAAATGACGAGTTTGAGGTTGTTGTGAGCTGTGAAGCCAAGGCACTCAACTGAGGGTGACAAAGTGAGACTCCATCTCA